CACCTTCACTGGTCATTCAAGAAATGCAAATTAAAACAGCACTGAGCGTTCATCTCACTCCAGAAAGAATAGCTGCCATCAGGAAATCAACTGATTACAAATATTGGCAAGGCTGCAGGGGGGAAAAGGAACACTTCTCTCTGTTGGTGGAAGTAGACTGGTGCAACCACTATGGAAATCAGTAAGGAGAATTCTCAGAAGACTACGATTGGAAGTTACATTCAACACAGCTATACCGCTCCTGGGTGTTTTCCCAGAAAAACAGAAAAGGTCATATCACAGTGATATATGTGTACCCATGTTCACAGCAGCACAATTTGTAATAGCTAAATCTTGGAAACAACCAAGATGCCCATCAACCACAGAGTAGATAAAAAAGACGTGGTATTTTTATACAATGAAGTACTCAGCTATAAAAAAGGATGATCTTGAGTCCTTCATAGGCAAATGGAAACAACTTGATGCTATTCTCGTTAGTGAAATAAATAAGAATCATATTTATAAAGATCACATTGTGTCTCTAGTGTAAAAAGTAATAAGAAATGTAGGATCAATAAAAACCAAAATGTGTAATTGCTATTGTGAAAAAGAGAGGAAAAGCAAGTTCTCTAAAGGATATAACTGCATGTATGTTTAAGAGTGTATGATTGATAACCATATTACTAAGTTTTTGTTGGATAGTTGAACAGAACTGTGTGCAGTCTTGCTGTTTGAATGTCCACTTTGTATGCTTTACTTTTGTAACTTGAATAACTATTTCTAAGAGGACAATACGTAATTTATCAACTAGTGATTTATTACTGTTTATTTTTTTTGAAATTGTGTATTAGTTCTACTTTTTTCTGTTTTTTTTTCTTTAAATAAAATTTGAAAAAAATAAAAACAACTACACTGAGATTCCATCTGACTCCAGAAAGAATGGCCAGGATCAACATCCAATTCTGGAAGGCTGTGGGGAAAAAGAAACTCTTCTGCACTGTTGGTGGAAGTGCAGACTGGTGCAGCCACTGTGGAGGTCAGTCTAGAGGGTCCTCCAAAAGCTGGGGTTGGAAATACCATTTGACCCAGCTATTTCGCTTCTGGGCATATTCTCAGAAAAACTGAAAACATCATATCACACTGATATATGTATACCATGTTTATAGCAGCACAATTTGTAATAGCTAGATCTTGGAACCAACCTAAATGACCATCAACTGACAAATGGATAAAAAAGATTTGGTATTTTTATACAATGGAGTACTACTTAGCTATAGAGATTGATCATATTGAGATATTTAAAAGTAAATTAATGCAACTTAAGACCATACTGATAAATGAAATAAATCAAACTCCCATGTATAAATACCATATTGTCTCCCTAGTATAAGAAATGGTAAGTGTACATAAGACACAAAATCCTCAATAACTACAGTGAAAGGATAAGATTCTACTCAAACAGGAAAAAATAATATCTCAGAGAAAAATAGGGAAAAAAAGAAAGGGAAAAGAAAAAATATTTAAATTAGTATAAACACACAGGATAGCTAAAATGATTGTGCTACAAATTCTTGGAAAAAACAGTTCTTGGAACAAAACAGTTAACATTCATAGGATTAGAACAATTTTGCATGTTTGTGTCTGGTGATCTGAAAAACTCTTTTGAATATCACTATGTAAAATAACAACCTTCGTATATTCCTATCACCTTGTTTTGAAGGCCTATCTTGTCAGTGTTTTTGGTTCTTTGCTATTGCTTTGTATTTGTCTTTTTTTGCTTAGTGTTTTTCAAGGACTTTGTTTTGTTTTGCTTTGTTTTTCCCTCTAATTCAGAAGGATAAGTATATATGTAGAGACGCAAACATGCATAGAATTTCTCCTATACAGTTTATGAGACTTGATTATATAATGTATGATGAATGGAATAGCTATTTTGAAGAAAAAGAAATATTTGTAGCCATTGCTGATTCCAAGGAGTCATGCTGTGAAATTCAGCAATACTATTATTCTTTGTACAGGGTGATTTTAGTCTATTTTGTATTATTTAACTTCAACGTACATGAAGGTATGGACAGCTAGCTATTTTGAAGACAGAGAGCCATAATGGCAGCCATTGTTTATTTCCTTATTGTCTAGTTTTGAAGACCTAAAATGCCTTCATCATTCTGTTCTGATCTGTTTAATTATATTTTGTTTTGTATGAATTCAAGATATGGACAACTATTTGGAAGAAAACAAAAGACATTATGATACCACTTACCACTGTTGATCTCTTGTTGTCTTGCTTTGAAATCTGGGTCTCTTACATTGTTTTCTTCTGATCTGCTTTGTTAAGTTTTGTTGTGTTTTGTTTTATCCTCTTTAAAATAATAAAAAAAACTGAAAATACTCAGGTAAGACTGATGAAGAAAGCACTATTAACATTGAAACAGCATCTAATATCACAGTCCTTGAAGACATCAAAAAGATAATAAGTGGGTAGGATGAGCAACTCTACACCCAGAAATTTGACAGTTTAGATAAAGTGGACAAAAATTCCTCAAAAATAGAGCCTACTATTGTATATTTCATATAAATTGAATGATGGACATAATTCTCAGCTAAGAATAAAGTTGAATTCACAACTTAAAAAGTATTTTTGAGGCTCAAATGTTTTCACAGGAAAATTCTATGACATATTTAAAGAAGAATTCAAATCACTTTTGGTGTACAAAACTAGAATATATAAAAGGAATTTTGAAAACTTTGAGAATACATTTTCATATTAGATGATTGTAGGAAATTATTAATTCTACTAGCTACCATAATAGTATGACTATTGTAGAAAATGTCCTTAATCATCTGATCATCCATTGTGGACTCTATTTGCCCTGTATGTGCTTACTTAAGTCATTACTGAATGTGATCATGAAGATTCTGTTTCTTTTATTTAAAAGAGAAACTGTCTTCCTCTTCCTATTACTTCTCTTCCTACAGGCAGGACAAAACTGTGACCTAATGTTGACCTAGCAGCTGAAGCTTACAACATAGTACATCTTAGGTGGAATCTGGACATTTAAAATGTCTTTGGGAGTCAGAAACTACTACTGGGGTTAACTCAGAAGGAAACAATACATATTATTTGATCACAGAAATAGGGACTCTAGTAAACTGTTAGTCCTTGGGATAACATTTAGCAGCTAGCAAAAATTTCCTAGCAAAACTTTAGCTAGTGCTGACCCTATACTCAGGACCTCAGATTTATCTTGATTAGTTTAGACTACTGAATTTGTCAAAGGGAAGAATTCAACATCTCCCAATGTTCACCCAGGTTTTGATCCCCTTTTTGCAGCTCACAGGGTGATTGAAGCAGGAAAGGAGAAGAGTGATAAATAAATTTGCATACAGCAAAAGTTATGAATGTTGTTTTCCATTACCACAAACCAGAAGAAAATGAGGCTCCTGATGTGACCATCCATGACTGCCTAGAGCTGGTCCTCAACTAAATTCTACACCTTCAAAAAAAAGCCTTTTCTAATTTCACACAAGTTTGATGAGGTTATAGATACAGATGGAATGAAGTCTTAACAGAGGTTTAAAAGTGTAAAGAGGAAGTAAAACATATGAACTTTTAAGTGAGGAAGGCATGAGACAGAACATTATAACAAAATGATTCCCCTTCCCTTCTTTTTCTTTAACATCTTTTCATACAGTATCTGGTTAGGTTAAAGTATTCACCAAGACGATGTACTAAGCAACTATGATTGGTGACTTCAGAGACATGGGCTTCCAGAGAAACTGATTTTAAAATTCTACCAAATGTTTATATGTTTCTGATTATTCTGCAATAAACATGAATGTACATTTTTTATAGTTCTGGGGATTCAATACAGGGCCCTGTGCATGCAAGGCAAGAGCTCTACCACTGTGCCATATCCCTAGCCCCGTAATGAATAATATTTTTAAAAAGAGATAATTTGTTTTTGAGACAGGGTTTCACTTTGTAGTTTAGCTGAGCCTTGAACTCACTATGTAGCCCACACTGGAGTGGAACTCACAATGATCCTGCTGTCTCAGCCTCTCAAGTGTGGGGTTACAGGTATGTGCCACCATGTCCTGCTAAAAAAAAAAAAAGATAAAATTTGAAAAGAAAAGGTAAGCTGGAGTGGAGCCCTTACTAGGAATGATACTCATGCCCTATTCTTTCTATAGGTCAGAGAACTTCAGGGTAAGATTCCTATTTGCTCTCAACTGCCCATTATGCTCTACCTGGCAACATAGCACCAGCTCCTTCTTGTAACACACAAGTTCACCAGGAGCCAGGTCATCCAGTTGTAGGTCTCACCTTTGTTCTCTGAGAGAGCCTAGGACATTTCTCCCTGGGACATAATTCCATTCTCCCAGTTAGATGCAGGCACAGGGTATAGGCCATCTTCACAAAGCAGGTGACAGTCACCTGGCCCTCTGACACTGTGGGCTCTTAATTAATCTCCAGAGTGGTAACAACTGAAAGACCATAGGCAGAATCTCTGACATTACAACATAGACAGATTACAGAGAAGGACAGTAGAGCTGAGCTCCACCATCCTAGCAATACCACCACCCTGGACAGTGCTAAGAATGCAGCAGTTGCTCAAGCAACAGGGACCCACACATGAATAAAATAACTAAGCACAATGCCCAGCACTCAGTGTACAGTCAAAGAGAGGCAGGTCTTGTTAGGGTAATAAATGGATTCCACAAGGCAGTTTTTAACATGGAGTAGCTGGAATGCTGTCATCATTGCACAATAAATACAATGATCACCAGGTACATAAAAGCTTTGATTGCAGTAGCTGCCCAAGAATCACATTGCTGTTAGTGAATAAGTGAAATCATGATCACTGTGCTACTATCACTGTAGGAGCCCACATAGGGACAGTAGCTGGGTAGGACTCTTGGGAATGGGCTAAGAGCCGTATCAGCCTAGGAACAAATTGAGGGGAGCAAACTTGGTAGGCTGGAGTAGGCTTGAGCTGGGGTCAGGATCAGGGTCATCTACCTCAGATGCTGTCCAACAATTTGGCAATGCCATGAAAAGAGTACTCCTGCAAGGTGACATGGACCATCTTACAAATGATCAGTGAGCAAATGTCATGAAGGTCCAGCACCACCCTGGCTCTATTGAAGATGTTGTAGGAAATAGTCTCTTATTGGGGTCTGCACTGATCTGGAAGTCAGAGAGTTCATTTCCATTTTTGAGCCACTTCAGGTTGATGTTTTTGTGGAAGAAGCCATGGTACTTGCAGGTGAAATTCACTGTATGCCCAAGGATGGCCCTTGCCCCAAGGCCTAACACCATGGGGGAGAGGGTCTAGATACAAAGGAAAAACTTTTAAGTTTTTTTCATTTATAGGTACATGCTTCTATTACATAATGACTACATTCTTTGTAGGGAGTTGTCACATAAACATAAACATCTCAATTATATTTTTGTCAGCTTTCCTTCCCATTCATCCCACTCTCTCCATCTTTTGACCTTTTGCTTTTGAAAATGATCTATTTTTTACTGCCTATTATCTACCTCTTATTTTGCTATTTATTTTTTTCATGTCTTTTTTCTATTTAGAGAAAGATAAAACAAAATAGAAAATGGGCAGAAATAGTACATTCTTTCAAAGAAAAGAAATAAACAATAATAGATCACTAGTTGATATATACATATTGTCCCCCCACAAATAATTGTTCAAGATACAAAAGTGGAACATATAAATGGGGATTCAACCGAGAGACTGCAAACCATTCTGTTCAACTATCCAACAAAAACTAAGTAATATGAATATGAATCCTATACACTTAGACATGTATGCATTTATCCATACCTTCACTTATGTTGAGAGCTAACAAAACTTGTTAGATTAAAATCCTTCTGAGCAAAGATTAATAATATTGCTGGATTTTATATCATAACACTCTGGTATCAGCACTGGGTACTGCAGTGCCCCTGTCTTTCCTTCAAAGTATTTGATCATTTCATCATGTGTCATAAGATCAGTTCTCATAAACTATTTATAGGTTTTATGCAAGCATGAGTCTTAACATGTATTTCTATCCTTTTTATATTAGAGGGAGAAGCAGAACAAAGCAGGACTTTTTCCTATAGATACATAAAACTAAAAAGACATATAAATCTGCTATATAAGGAGTTCTACCATGGTTACTGTGCTGTTGGTTGTTATCATCAACCAAATAGGCTATGTCGTCAGATAAAGTAGAATTGAACATAGCAGTACATAATAGAAGTAACAGAAATACAACTTTGTAGATAGTGTAGAGCTACAAAAACAGGTAGTAATCAAATCAGAATGGAGATCACGGTGAATCATTGTCATTTTCAGTATAGTTTTCTCAGCTTGATACCAGAAACCTCACAGTTTTGAATAAAATCTGTCAATAATAAGCAGTATTCAAACAAGTCAGATTTAACTAAGATCAGTCATGACACAACAGTATACATCATACAGGCATCCTGATTGAGTTAATAGGAAATTAAAGATGACCACTGTGCTATGTCGAGATATCTTTGGGACAGCTGTCTGTGCCCTCAGATACAGTGCTTGTATACAAAGTAGGATGGAACAAGTTCCAACCAAGAATGGTGCAAGTAATAAGGATTTTAATTCCTGATACACTATTAGCTATATCTTCTGCTGGTTTTTTTTTTCAAGACTATTCCTCCTCTTTACTCCCCCAGAATGAACTGTGTATTTTCAGGTCTCCCCATCACTCATGGTTTGATATGGGGGGGGGGGCCAACCTGCTATTTACCTAAGTATTTCTGCACTTTCTCACTCCTGTTGTATTTCTAGTTATATTTCTTCATTTATTAAAGCCTGTCTGTTCGACCTATCCATAAATACTGGCCCAGTTACCCCTATTACTCTCTGGTTCCCTATCACTTCAAGTTCCATTTTCTCATATTTGATTTTGGTCTATATAACCTTCTTCAGGCTAATAATATTTCCTATAAAGAGTCTCTCAGTGGACCCTACCTCTTGATCTATTCTGCCTGCGATTCTCTCTTTTTTCCCTTGTTAGTGTACTTAGACCATCTATATTAGAAATTCTATCCAGCCTTCTTTGCCTCATTTCTGTTGTGCTCTTTTTCTGTCATTAGTTGTCTGTTTGTCTTTTTCATTTCACTTCTGCTCCATTCATTGTGGCCTCTCTGCCATTGTTTCTGGAATCCTGATACTTTTCTCTCTCTTTAGAATGTCCTGCAGTATTTTCTGTAGAGTTGGATTGGTGGTTGTGAATTCCCCCAGTTCCTCTTTATCTTGGAAGCACCTTGTTTCTCCATTAATTTCTAAGGACAATTGTGCAGGATATATCAATTTTGGCTGGAGATTATTGTCTTTTAAGGCTTGGATTATTTCACCCCATGCTCTTCGAGATTTTATGGCTTGTGCTGAGAAGTCTGCTGTAATTCTGATGGGTGTTCCTTTGTAAGTGATCTGTTTCTTGTCTCTGACAGCTTTTAATATTCTGTTCTTATATTGGATTTCTGGAATCTTGATTATTATATGCCTGGGTGTAGTTCTGTTTTGATTGTAGGTAACTGGAGTTCTGTATGTCTCATACATCTGAACATCTTTCCCTTTTTCCTATGTTTGGGAAGTTTTCCCTCATTACTTCTGTGAAAGCCTTTGCAGTTCCTTTGTTTGTACCCCTGTTTCTTCTCTCACATTCTTTATTCTTAAGTTATATATTCTCTTGTCATCGTCTAGCCTTTGTATTGTTACTGCTTGTTTCCTTGTTATTTTTAAGAAGTTTTTCCTTTCATGCTCCCACAATACAAATCTGTCCTCCAGTTCAGATAATCTATCCTTAGTTTCTTTCAAGCTGTTATGCCAGCTTTCAATAGAGTTTTTAGTTTCCTAGTAATCTCTTTGAACTGGTTTCATGTATTCTATGTTTTCTCCATCAAACAATTCTCCCCCTTTTTTTCTGTTCTTCCATTCCACCATCTGTTTTTTCTTTAACTATCCTACTTATATCTTGCTTTACTTGGTTAAATACTTCACATTTGAACTCATCTATGAGGTCCCAGAGATATCGCTTTATATCTATTGGTGCCATGCCTGATATTGCATGCTTTCTGTCCTCATTCTCCTTTGCATTTACCTTTCTTGGATCAGTGTTCTCAGGATTGGGAACTGAGGACCCTTTCTTGTTGCCTCCTCTTCTCATATTTTTTGTTCCTTCCATACAGGTGTATATAGGAGGCCCAGTTTCTTTCTTTGTTGGTTACAGTTTGTTTAAATCGTGCTGGCTAGGTATTCCCACCCACTGCAGTGTACTAGGGAGACACAGACCAAGGAAGCCTATGATGGGCCTGCCTCTCCAGGTCACTCAACTTGCTGAAGTCTTCACTGCATTAGAGTGCAATGCCAGGTGCACGGAACTTGGTTTGGGCTAGAATAGTGGGCCTCAGTCTGTGGCATCACCTAGGTCAAGTGCTCCCCACCAATCTCGCTTGAGAGGGGAATTTGTGATTGAAGTCACTGCAGCACCCTGTTCCAGCCAGTCTGCCCGGTCCCAGAATGTCCGCTGTTGGAGCCTCCTAGTCTATGGAAGGATCCTCTCACTCACTGCAGGTCGATGCAGGGCTCCCCGCAAGTTCTGCTCTCAATTTGGTTCACCAATTCCCTCTCAGCGCATTCATGTCTCCAGCGAGATGAAACTAGCAGGCTATCCCTGCTGTGCTGATTCAGGCACAGCAGCGGCAGGGAATTCAAGCCACACGTTCCAGCACCAACTGGTGGCAGCACCAAGACTTTAGCTGTTCTAATTGTAGCACCGGGATTGCATTTCCAATTGTTTTCTCTCAGCTTAGTTTGTTCCTGGGTCGGCAGGGTACATCTCCCCCTGCTTAGGACTCCCCACACTGCAACATTCCTGGAATCTAAGCTGGCTATCTCAGAGAGCCTCCGTAGCTGCTGTTATCTATCTGCCATCTTCTCCACTCCCCATTTATTTAAATTTTTGTATTTCATATAAGACAAATCATGCACTATCTGAGCTTGTGTAACTAATTGATTTCACTTAACATGGTCTCAGGTGCATCCATTTTCCTAAAACTGACTCAAGTTTATCTCTTTATGGCAGAATATTACTCCATTGTGAATAAATACCACATTTCATCTCTTGATGGACATATAGGTCCCTTCCAAAATTTACCCATTATAATTTGTGTTTCTGTAAATATGGGTATGCATGCATCATGATAATATAATGCCTTTAATCTGGCAAAGGGTTATCCAAAGACAAGACAGGTAATTGTGGTGACCACCACTAATATCAGACAAGTAACAGTGTGAAATGCCTTCCTGGATGCTATAATTGTCACTATCATGTTTTCAGTAGTGGAAATAGGCCCTTGATCATTGTAAGCATGTGGTCCACAATTGAACTACGACCATGCCATAGCCATTACTGTGAGTCGTCCTTAAAAAGCTAGGAAGGTAGCATCCATAGCCACTTGTGTCCTGGAGTTAGATGTACATTGCTCAGCTAATCAGTGAGGAATGGACAGACAAGTGGCATCTAGGACTGAGATCAAAGTCCTTTTCTCTGAACCAGACAGTTTCCATCAGGCTGGGCCAAGGACAGAAGTTACAGCCAGGTCTCACTCCATGTGTTACCTGTTCCCTACTGGATTGTGGTAAAAAACCTTGCCTACTTAGGAAAAGCATTTATGGAAGTAAATACAGGGGACAAATAATACTGGAACAGTAAGAGGAAGCTGTAACTTGGGTGGCCATCCTGAGACATGGCATCACATCCCATCACTCCACCCATGAAGCAAGGGGCTTCACTTCTCTTCCCCAGACAAAAGAAAAGATTAAATATGGCTCAGTGAGCATTTTGGATGGATTGTATATAGGAAAGACTTCTGAAAAACATACTAAGATCTATCCTAATTTAAGTAGGCACTTTATACGTCTTTCCCCACACATATGGCAGTGCGTATAAACTGTGTCAAGTCTTGTATTTGAAAGGAAAAAGCTAAAGAGACCTTTTTCTAAATCTAGAAGATTTTCTTGGCTCATTTTTAACTTAGAAACAAATATCTCCAGTATACAGTAAATGTAAGGTGGTTAATTTCTTAGTAGCTAGTTAATTACAAGCAACACAAGCAGAACTGCTGGGTAGACTATAGTGTCTTCTGCTTCTCCAAGTGCAATCAAGAGAAAAAAGGGAAGTTTCTCCTATGCACTGTTCCGAAAAGTGTCTCCAGATTAGCAATTATTGCTTAGTATCTTCTATCACATACTGCATTAAAGTCTTACATATATTCTTATTTATAAATATTTATCTTGCTCACCAGCATCCAACAAACATTTTAAAGTCATAATAAGGAAAGAATAGCATCACAGATGGGACCAAGTACACCAGAAATGCTATGATTTGGCCTGGGCTGTGAGTTTTTCAGAGAGTCTTACAGGATTGCAATTAGCAGTCAGGTTAAGGTCCACATCCTACACCCAGCTTCACAACACTCCAGGACTGAGGAAGGAAACTAACTTCCAAGGCACAAAGCTCACACTGATGTAACATTTTCTACAAAGCAGGCTGGTCTAAGCACTTTATATTGCTGTAGAACTCAAGAGTCCAGAGAAACTGTAGCAGGATCAGAAGGATTTATTAGGTGTACACTTGACTCAGTAGACTTGTGTCCAAAAGGCTGAGCCCTGAACAATGGAATGGCTCTAGTTTTGTGTATTTTGCCAAGGGTGTTGCTTTTGTGAAACATAACTTGGGGGTGGAAAAACAGAGAAAAAAAGCAGTTTGTAAAGATGTGCTCACTTGCCTTGGTTAGGTAAAAACAGGAATTTTTGAAAAATTGAGGTTATAAAACTTTACTTATAAACTCACTGCTTTTATCTGTATTAGAATAAAGAACAACAGCTGAAGGAAGGTAAAAGTTTGGAGAAACTCACATTTTTCTTTTTAAATCTTGTTTCAGTATGACCATGCTTAAGCCTAACACAGTTCACATTAATGAAATGTTTTCTGCAAAATGCTACTCTAAGCATATCATGTGATTCCACTCCTATCTTGGCCATACTTTTTGAAGGACAGGTGAGGAAACCAAGGTTTATTGTGTTCAAGGCAGGTGAGGGGTCTGGGATGTAAGCCCAAGGATTTGAGTTCTGGACCCTGATTCTTTAGCACAGTATGTTTGATAAAGAATAACAATGCTGGCTACCCCAAATCCAAGACTTCCTGCACAATCTCTTCAGTCTTCACACAATCCTGAATCAGGACATGACTATTATATAGTTATATAGATGGGGAAATTGGCTCTAGGGAAGCCAAGCATCAGCCAAGACTGCACAGCTCATAGGACAATCCTATTAGATACTTAGGGTCTGTTCTACCACAGTCTTTCCTCATACTCCTAACAGCTTTAACATGTTAAGCAATCATCTTTCTACAGATGAGGAAACAGAGACTCATCGAGGGATACTGGGTGGCTCAAAGCTATACAGATTTGTAATAATATTTTGATTTGTTGGTGCCTGCTTGGTGCCAGGATATTTGCAGAGAAGACTTCAAAGCCTTTTTTCTTCTTAGAAGGAATCCATGATTCCAACCATTTCACAGATAAGGAAACTAAGGCTGAGAGAAACAAAGGCACTCTGTACACCACCATCTTGATAAGTATTTCTTATGCCTACAATATTTTCATGTTTTGTTTTTCTTAATAGAACTCATGTCCTCACTTTTGAAGGCTCAGCACTTGCTATCCCTTCACTTCTTTTATTTTTCTTCAAGATTTCTGAGAGAAACACCCCTGATGAAGTTCTGCTAACTTAAGTAAATAACAGAAACGCTGCTTCCAGAAGCCCCACACTTCCTCTGGCACCTGCTCCTTCTGCTCTATGTCCACTACTCAGTGAAGGAGCCACATCTCAGTGAGAGAAACATCCTGGGTTCCTCACTGGCACTGAGATGTGTCCCTAAGGAAGAGCACTTCCAGAGACTAGAGCAGGATTTCCTCATCTAAAGAAGGCAAGCCTTCACTGTTGTCCTCCACAGAGATTTTTTTGGGTCTGTATGGTTTTAATGCCTATTGCTGTAACACAGAAAAATCACAAGGTTTCAGGAGAGAGCTAGAGCAATTCAGTTCACTGGTGCAAGCACAGTGGTATTGTGATGAGTAAGACTGTGGTTGAGGCTGTGAGAATCACACCTTGCCTCCCTCACCTGGTCACAAGTCGAGGCTCCTTCTCAGCCCATGGTGGTGTCCTAATCTTTGATGATGCAACAAAAGTCTACTACAGTCTTGATTTAGGCAGAAACTGCCATGACTAAAAGGTAGCATCTGTCATGTTGCCACTGTGTCCATCTAGTCTTCTTCCTTTCTCATGCAGCCTAAGTTGGAACAATGGTGTGACACAGAAGAACAAGTGCCCAACCAGGAGTCTGAAGACTAAGTCAAACTAACACACTTACTGACTGTGATTACCTAGGCATAGAGGCACTATGTTGGAACTTCTGAGTCTTTCTTTACCAGAGAAGATGCAATGAAGCCACAACCCTGCCTATGTCCAGGGGTAGTGAGGACAATTGACTTGTCATATCTGGGAGGGAAAGTTAGCAGCATTCACATGAATTACAACACATTTACCCTCTAACCCAGCCACCACTTCCACTAGAGTTTCCCCCTCCTGTATTGGATTGTGGATGTATAAGTTCATCCTCTGCAGCACTGTTAGAGTAGGCCATGGCTGGGATCAACTTAAACACCCACCTACAGATGCTTGAAATGTTTTATGACATTTCCTTTTGAATAAGTAACTTGCAGTTGTTAAAATAATGGCGCAGCACTCTACATTCTGGTATTGAATGCTAACATGAAATTATTATGTGGCTGACATTCGTGAGAAGTTTTCTAATCACAAAGAGCCTTTAGTTGTGAATGTGAGTGACATCCTAAACTACTGGGAAGTAGATGAGGTACAGAACTCTGGATTTCTGATGTGTAGTTCTGAACCACTAGTCTGTACCTCCTGATTCCTCTATGGAAACTATGTCTATTCTGGGGCAGCTTTTAGCATGGCTGAACGTAAGTGTGGTTTCTACTCCTCATCCTGGTACTAAGTGATTATTTCTGGTCCTCAAACTCACATCTGTAAGCATATTAGGCTGGATGGTTTGAAGGTCTCTCTTTTCTCAGAATTAGACACTAGAAAGAAGATTTTGGCCGTGGGCAGCAAACACATGAGCATGTTGGCTGACTCAGTGAGGGTTTCTAATGTTTCTCATGGGGTATCTTTTCCTGAAAAAAACCCCAGGTGGTCACAGAGTTCTCAGTGCTTGTATGAGGCTGTCGCTGATACAATAAGGTTTGGTAGACAGGCCTAGCAGAAGGTTCAATACCTTGGCATTTCTCCAGCCATGGCACTGAAATCAAAAAGGAGCCTCTGATTGTGAGGAATATTCTCAGTATTTTTCTTTAGGGGAAATGAAAATAAATGTAGCATCCCCCATCTGCAGGTGAATACCAACTTTGTAGGAAATGAGCTCAACCTGGGCAAATGCCTTCTGTTTCCCTGGCTTGCAGAAATTATCCTGGGACACAATAGACCCTCACTGCAGTTGCACTCAGAGAGGAAGATCTATCTGGGGATAGTAGGTGAGATCTTGCCCTTTACTGGGCTGTTTCTCTTCTGTGGAGACAAAGGTGGGGTACAGTAGAAAAGTGGAACATTGTGCAGTAGTGAGACAATGGCTGCAGATGCTCCCTACTTGCTTGGTATGGGGCCGTGAGCTTATAATAGACTGCAGGCCTTGGCTGCCCTGATAAATGGGTGACATTAAATCCTGAACATGAGCACCCACCATCCTACCTGCCTCTTCACTGGTGCTCACAGAACATGGGGTGTGATTCCTGACCTACTGTCATACATCAAGAAATGAGTGAAGCTCAAACTGTACTCACCACTCACAAACATCTTGGTGCCTCCTCCAGACAGAATCTCCTTGTCCTCAGAGCCTGTTTTCTGGAATTTGACACAGTAGTAGGTGCCTGCATCTGCAGGGGTGACGTTACGGATTCGGATTGAAAAGTCTGTGTAGTTTTCCAGTGTGGCATCTGCCACATTTGTGACTCGGGCATAGTGGCCTCCTGTGTAATTGTAGATTATCTCCCGGTTTTGTCCTTGCCCCCTGAACCACAGGATGGGTCCCACAGGGAACAGGGAGGTCACAGTGCAGTGCAGAGTGGCTGTCTCACCTGCGGTGACCAACACTAGTTTCTCAGGCTGAATCACCTGCAGAATCTCATCTGTGGCTGTTGGGAGGAAAATACAGAGCAGTTATCATTCCTCCTGATGGCTCCTGTGTGTTTTCTAAAGTTAATCAGTACAGAATTGTAGTGACTGAGTGGACGCTATGAGTGAATACTGGAGCTCAGCTCATTGCATTTATTATCAGACTTAACTTCCTTTTATGGAAAAACTGAGGCCCACAGGGCCATGATAGAGTATAAATTTGAGTGCAATTGGCCTCCTTGAAAGTCTCGTGATAATCTAATGCCTCACCAAATATTTTTTACTCTTCACATTCTGTTCACATAGTACACTAGTCATGGTATAGGGCAGTTTGATGAGATTCCTTTAAACAACTGAATTCCAAGCAGAGTTGGGGGTGTCATTAATGAGACAAACATTTGACCTCAGAAATCTATGGATCAGTTTCCCTCTTTCACAGAGATGCTCAAGATGGGGTTCATTTAAGATAGTGATACCCAGAACTCCCAATGCGTAATAATTGTTCTTTCTTTTTTTATTTTGAAATGGATAAAACCAAATGAGACAAAACAGAATAGAGTCAGTCAAAACAAAAGGATGAACATGATACATGACTTAAAAACAAAATACAGTGAGATCAATAATGGCTACCATATTGCCTTTTGTTACCTTGAAAAGAATTGTTCGTATCATCAGGCATAAATAAAATCAAACAAAACATTACAGAACAAAACCTATAGAAACAAATGAAGACATTATAAGACCTCCAAAGAAGTTAATAATAAAATCACAAGAAGCATTATAATGCATCTTATTGTCTTCAAAGTACTTGCCTATAGCATCAGACATACTATCAAACAAAACAGAATAGAATAAAATCAATCAAAACAAAACAATGAAAGCAATACAGGGCTTCAAATCAAGCTAACAGAAACCAAAAAAGGTTGCCATAATATATCCTGATACCTTTGGAATAGCTGTCCATGCCATCAAATCTAATACAATTAGAAAAGCTGAAACAGAATAAAACCAAGATATACAGAACAATGAAAACAATATGGGTTTCAAATCATGGTAATAGATTAACAATGGCCACTGCCTTCCCTTTTTAGACAATTCCTCCCCCTTTCACTTTCACAGGATGTATTGTACATTTTGAATCCCCTTAACCCCTTTAGTTTTTATACTAGGTAGACTACATGCTATTTACCCATGTGACCCTGAATCTTTTTACCACTGAGCGTGATTATTTGCCTACAAGAGCCTCAAGGTTATCTTTCTTTATAGCTGAGTAGTTTTCCACTATATGAAAGTGTCATAGCTTTCTAACCAATCTGTAGTTAATAGGCAAGCTACCCCTACTGTTTTCTGGTTTCCTGTCACATAGAGCATTGTTTTCTCATCTTTGACTTTCAGTCAATAGACTCCCTTTTGGGTTAAATGTGTTTTTTGTATAAAACATATTGATGGACCCTGTCTCCTGATCCACTCTGCCTGTGTTTCTTTTTATTGGGGAATTGAGACCATATATATTAGTGATTGTGGCAAACATTCTCTGCCTCACCTCTGCCATGCTATTTTTCTGCTGTTGGTTGCCTACATTTCCCCTTCATTCCATTGTCTTCCCTACTCAGTGAGCCCCCTCTGTCACTGTTTCTGAAACCATGATCTTTTTTCTCTCTCTCTTCACAATGTCCTTCAGTATATTTTATAGGGTTGGTTTGGTGGTGATAAATTCCCTCAGTTGTTCTGTGTCATGAAAGTATCTTGTTTCTCCATTAATTTTGAAAGATAGTTTTGCAGGGTCCATCTATCTGGGTCAGAGGTTATTTTCTTTCAGGACTTGGAATATTTCACTTGAAGCTCTTCTTGATTTTATGGTTTGTGTTGAGAAATCTGTTGTGATTCTAATTGGTTTTCATTATTAGGTGATCTGTTTCTTTTCTCTGACAGCTTTTAATATTCTGTTCTTGTATTGAATTTCTGGGATCTTGATTATTATTGTCTGGGTGTAGATATATTTTGGTTATAGATAACTGGACTTTTGTATGCCTCATATATCTGAATATCATTTCCTTTTCCTATGCTTGGGAAGTTTTCTTTAATTATTTATGTAAATAGCCTTTGTATTTCATTTGTGTTTACCATTGCTTTTTGACTCACATTTATTATTCTTAAGTTATACTTCTTTTATGTCATCTTGTAGCCTTTGAATTGTTACTTCCTGGTTTCTTAATATTTTTAAGAGCTCTTTCCTTTCTTAATAGCAAGCTACAATCTTGTCTTCAAGGTCTGAAAATCTATCTTTAGTTTCTTTCAAGCAGTTTTGCCAGTTTTCAATGGAGTTTTTAATTTCCTGGTAATCTTTTTGAATCTATTTCATGTATTTTAAGTCTTTTTTATTTTCTTCATTCAAGGTTTCCCTCATTTTCCTATGCTCCTCTTATTCTTCCATCTGTGTCTTCTTTAGAGGTGCTTAGCAATTCTTTTATTATGTTTCTCATTGCTTAAAATTTTATTTTAAAGAGGCTAAAATTAAACATAAAAAAACAGAACAAAACAGATCAAAAGAAAATAATGTAAGAGATAGATTTCAAAGTAAGACAACAGGATATTATCACTGGCTACCATAATGTCCCTTGTTTTCTTCTAAATAATTGTCCATATCTTCATACACAGTGAATTCATACAAAACAAAATATTATTAAACTAATCAAAAGAGGATGATGAAGGCATTTTAGGTCTTCAGAACCAGACAATAAAGAAGTTAACAATGGTTGCCATAATGGCTCTTTCTCCTCAAAATAGATGTCCATACCTTCATGTATGTTGAAGTTAAGTGATAGAAAACAGACTAAACTCACTCTGTACAAAGAATAATAGTATTGCTGGATTTCGTAGCATAATGTTACGGAATCAGCAGTAGGTACCTTAGTGTCTCTTTTTCTTCAAGGTAGCTGTTCATCTCATCATGCATTGTATAATCACTTCTCACAAACTCTTTAGGAGAAGTTCTATGCATGTATGAGTCTCTACATGTATACCTGTCCTTTCTGTATTAGAAGGAAAAACACAAAACAAAGCAAAAAAATTCCTAGAAAAACAAGAAACAAAAAAGACAAATACATAATAATAGCAACAATCCCAAAACACTGACAATATAGGCCTTCAAAACAAGGTGGTATCAGCATAACTAGGATTGTGATTTTACATAATGATTTTCAAGAGTTCCTCAGATCACCATACAATAATATACACAATTGTTCCAATCCTATGAAAGCTAACTATTTTGTTCTAAGAACTTATAAAATTTGTAGCACAATCATCTTAGCTATCATAAGTGTGCTTATATAATTTTAGATATTTTTTCTTTTCCCTTTTTTCTTTTTCCTCATTTTCCCTGATACTATTTTTCCCCTTTAAGCAGATTCTTATCCTTTCACTGTATTTAATAAGGATTTTGTATCTTATGTACACTTATCATTTCTTACACTAGGGTGACAATATGGTATTTACACCTGTGAGTTTGATTTATTTCATTTATGAGTATTGCCTCAAGTTGCATTCATTTACTCATAAATATCTCAGTGTGGTCATTCTTTATAGCTGAGTAGTACTCTATAGTATAAAAGTACAACTTTTATATCCATTCCTCAGTTGATGGGCATTTAGATTGTTTCCAAGATCTGGCTATTATAAATTGTGATGTATAAACAGGTGCACATATATCACTGTGGTATGATATTTTAAGTTTTTCTGGAAATGCAAATGGGACTTCCACTCCCAGCTTTTTGAGGAATCTCCAGATTGACCTCAACAGTGGTTGCACCAGTCTACACTCCCACCAGCAGTACAGAAGAGTTCCTTTTTCCCGGAAGCCTCTCCAGCATTTGTTGTTGGTAGTTTTCTTGATCCTGGCCATGCTTTCAGAAGTGAGATGGAATCTCAGGGTGGTTTTAATTTTAATTTCTCTAACAACCAATGATGCTGAACATCTTTTCATGTATTTATTTGCCATTTGAATTTCTTCATCTGAGAATGGTGTATTCATCTTGGATGCCCATATTTGGAATGGGTCTTTGAATTTTGAGGATCAGAACTTTTTAAATTCTTTGTATGTTCTAGACAGAAGTCCTTTGTCTGAGGGACTGTTCACTAAGATATTTTCTCAATTTTTGGGTTTTCTTTTCACTATGCTGGAAATTTCTTTCAACATGCAAAAACTCTTTAATAGTTATTGATTCTGAGAGATATTTCATGTGCAGTATTATTCTTGTTCATGAATTGTCTACCTACTCCTATGTCTTCAAGATTTTTACCTACTTTGTCATCCAACAGATTTAGTGTTTCTGTTTTAATATTTAGATGTTTGATCCATTTAGACTTTAGTATCTAGTTTTAGGATTTGGCATATGGAGAGCCAATTTTTCTAATACCATTTATCAAAGAGACTATCTTGCTCCCAGTGAACATGTTTAGCCCCTTAATCAAAGATAAGGTGGCTGAATGTGTTTGTAATTGTATCTTCTATTCTATTCCATTGATGTTCAACTCTGATTTTATTCCAGTACCATGTTGATTTTATTACAGTAGCTTTGTAGTATAACTTCAAGTCAGGGATTCAAGTCAAGGCCTCCTGCCTTGCCTTTGTTGTTCTGAATTGCCTTTGCTATTGTAGATCCCTTCTGGTTCCAGATGAATTTTAGGAGTGATTTCTCTAGATCTGTGAGGTATGCTAGTGGTATTTTGATGGAGATTGCATTAAATATGTATGACAATTTTGGGAGAATGGCCATTTTCACAATGTTTGTTCTTCCTATTCATGAACAGGAAATGTCTTTTCATCTTCTGAGATCCTCTTCAATTTCTTTTTTCAGTGTCTTAAAATTTTCCATGAATAGATCTTTTACGTCATTTGTTAGATTGATTCCTACATGTTTCATTTCTTTGGGTGCTATTGTGAAAGCTGTGGCTTCTCTTATTTCTTTCTCAGTGACTTTGTTGTTAGTGTATAGGAATGCTATTGATTTTTGAGTGTTGA